CGACGTTTAGGACTTTAACGTCTTACTGAACTCCATATTTCTCGACATCCAATTTACGATGGAAGAAGAATGCAGCAACCAGTTGCCCCTTCTGGATGTGCAGGTTACGAGAACATCCGAGGCGAGGACACGAACTACGGTATACCGCAATTCAACAAACACCAGACGCATCCTACAATTCGGAAGTAAGCACCCCATTAGTCACAAACGCAGTTGTGTCAGAGCTCTATTCCAAATGGTTCAAACACACTGTAGCTACGAAGACGGGAGAAAGGAGGAGGCAAAATATTTACACTCGCTGTTCACAGCCAATGGTTATCCACGGTGCTTCCTATATTAATGCCAACGGAGGCCAATTCACGAGCGACCGAACGACGAAAAACCAAAGTTTTGGCTCGCGATCCCCCGTGCCAATAATGTTTTGGAGACAACAACGCGAATTCTGAATCCTTTTGGAATCGGGGATTGCCCATAAACCGGATCCGACTATCCGACCACAGACAATGCGACCCAAAACCCGCTACCAGCAACGGGACAATCAGCAGTATTCTACAGCATGCCCTGCCAAAATTGACCTGCAAGGTATTTTGGTGAAACGGGTAAACGGTTCTGTACAAGACTACACGAACGCCAGCTGGCAGTCAACCGCAACGATGCCTTGTCATTGGTGTATGGCCAAATTAAGCAAGAAGAGCGCAGTTTCGCGTTCAGAAACGCGAAAATCATCGGCCGATCCAACGACAAAATGGCTAGACTGGTACTCCAAAGTTGGTCCTCAGCAGGCACAATCCTCGAAACGTAAAGAAATTGCAAATTTAAGAAAGGTTTGATGGAAGTGCTTTAATATTTATCTCACTGTGTAAATTCAAATATGGCGGGAAAAGTAAAGCTTCAGAAAAACTAGAAGCCAGTCAAACAGGAGCACTCTATGGAATCAAAACATCTGCTTTTTAACTGCATCCCAAATGACTAGGTCTGCTGCAACAACCAAATTCCGTGTGGTAGCAACTCGCAGCAGACCATAACAATAAGCATAAGCAGCGCCCTAATAACATAGAAAGGTAGCTGTAGTTTAGAGTTTCGTCCTCCAATCGTTGCTAGACTTTGGTCGGTAGGCATAGCAGGTGTGCTCCTGTGGCTCCTATGTTCTAAAACCAAAGCGACTGTGTGTACCACGATAGGTTAAACTGTCGCAGTTTGTATAATGTTATTTTAGGTAAGACTTTCTTGTTCTGTTCAATTAATTACGTCAATGCTGAAGTTTCTTGGCACTGAAATGCCGACCAACGATCTAATCGGCACAACTGGAAAATGTCTTTAGTTCACATCTATGATGGTCCGCAACTGCCTTCGATGAAAGAGATCAAATGGTGTAGTCTAGTCCAAAAGCAAATGGTGAGGTTTCAGAAAAAAACTTTTGAACAGCAATACTTTCATGCCGATTTTAACCATATTACACTTTTTTCTTTCGTGCACTAATGCTAATAGACCGTAATCGTTTAGTCGATCATCACGTCCTAACGACTGGAGGTCAATCTTAGATACAAATTTCCTGTAGGAACACCACCATGACTGAACTTGAACGAATTCAACATTCCAGTGTTTCACTATGTTATATTTAATAAAATATATTAGTCCTTCTAACTCCTTATGTTTACCTACTATAAGTA